CGGTATAGAACCAAATATCCGGGATATAATCTGCGTTACATATGTACACAAAATAAAAATAGATGTCGCTTTGGCTTGTAGACTTTTAGGGAATTATACAACGTTTTCAGTTTCCGCAACTAGTCTACACAAGCTGGTTGTATTTATAGTTTTAACACATGTGAAGATAGAAATGTAGAGGTTTACAAACGCAACGTTTTTGTGTTTATTTGTTTGTCGTAACTATGTTTTGTATTTGCCTTTGAAAAAGACTCATTAAGAGTCGAAAGCGCTTAGGCTAGTTAGTTACTAGTTTCGTACTGTTCGTCGTCAGTTTATTGCATCTATTTTAATTAATCCCTGACAGACGTGATCCCTTGGTGGATCCAGTACGCTTGAGAGGGTTGTTATTCGCCATATGATTTGTATTCTTTATATATATATATATATATATATATATATATATATATATATATATATATATATATATATATATATATATATATATATATATATTAATATATACATATATATATATATATATATATATATATATATATATATATATATATATATATATATATAGATATATATAGTTTAATCAAGGTATTATGATTGGGTGACTGAGAGGTATTTCGGTGCACCGCAAATTCTCATAATATTTTTGGGTGTAATTTGAGTAAATTTCAAGTCAGTCAAATTTCTGCTAATCAGGTGTCATACATGCATCAAATTGATAACAATTAATAATAAAATTAAGGATTTTAACAAAAGTTGAGTTGTTTGCAAAAGAGTATCAGCATTTCAATGTGTGTAAATAGTTACTGTAGAAGATATATAAACTAACTCTCATTAAAAAATAGTAAGCGGAAGACGGCAATATATCTTGGTAAGTGTTATCGCCATTTACAGCACACACATATCCCCCATTTTTTTTTTAAAAATTAGAATATAAATGTTCGAAAATAAATTGAACGTTTCAAGACCAGAATAAGATCCTCATGTGAATAATGTTAAAGTGGAGTTTTAATCAACGTTATCAAAAACAGTTCAACTTTTATGTTGACGTTAAAATAAAAGGTACCGTTTTTTTAAGTATGTACCATTTAATATTACCTGTTACAAAAGCAAGAAGAAATTAAGTAAAACCTGCTTCAAAGGTCAACTGTATTACACAGTCACCTACCTTGACGGGACCTTTAAGAGGATAATAGAAGAAAATTATGTTGGATGCCACCTTTCATGAAAATTACCCTTCATTAAGAAAAAGGTCATCTTAAGATGACACTTTCTTACTTTTTCACGATAGTTGCTTAAGACACATATGGCTACGAGAGAGAGAGAGAGAGAGAGAGAGAGAGAGAGAGAGAGAGAGAGAGAGAGAGAGAGAGGGTAGAGTTCCATCGTCTGTTGTCAAGAGACATGCGTGACAAGAGAGACAACTCGAATACGAATCGTTCATGTTGATAAGAATGATGCGTCGTTTTGATGATCGCAATAATAAAGAAAACGGTTGAGGAACACCTGTTTTTCAAGGATGGAATACATTTCTCAGTCTCTAATGCATGTGTTGTTTGCATGTCAGTCTAATGCACAAATTAGTTGTATGTATTAATATGTTAACATTAGTTTGTACGGGAAGCCAATTAGTGGCCCCATTCCATTAACTGCTGGCGTTCGTTGGGTAACATCTGTTAAACTGGTTCTGCTGAAAATGGTTAGGTAAATTGATTAATTCGCTGGATTTTTATTATTAATTATGCATCCAGGTTTGAATAGTCAGACCCATCATGGACGTTTTCCCATAGAACTATCTTTTTTGCTAATATTTGCAAGCTTAGACAAGTGATATTGAAAATAAAATTGCTGATAGTTTTAACCTATGAAAGGAGACATTGTAAATTAAACCAGAAATCTGTTTGAAGCATCATTTTGACTGAATCCCTGGAAATATTTATCATTTAGTTATATTTGTATTTGGCATCACAAGTCTAGTGTCAATTGATTTGAAGCAATGGCAAAATTTATTCCGTATGTTCATGTACCTCAATCGAAGAAACTGGGAAGAAATTTTGCCATCGCACGAATCTCATGCTTTATATTATTTACGGCGAACAATACTTAGCTTTCATTGTTTTTTCTGTGTCAATACAATCAACTCCGCACCCTGTGTCTTCGACATGATCCCTATTTTATGTAATATGTTTCATTCACTTTTATGATCTATAAGAAAATCGAATGAAGAAAGACTTGTGTGTGTATGTGTTTATCTTTGTGGACATATATATTCATATCCAGTCATGGGTGTTATGTTTGAATTTGAAAAAGATTGTAAATGAAACAAGTAAAGACATGGGGAAAAATATCCAAAATGTCTGTTACAAAATGCATATTCTTTGGGCAAGTAATACATGGTCTATAGGACCCTGCTACTCATATAAAGAGAGAGAGAGAGAGAGAGAGAGAGAGAGAGAGAGAGAGAGAGAGAGAGAGAGAGAGAGAGAGAGAGAGAGAGAGAGAGAGAGCATTACAATTCATATAAAGCACTGTATAGGAGAGAGAGAGAGAGAGAGAGAGAGAGAGAGAGAGAGAGAGAGAGAGAGAGAGAGAGAGAGAGAGAGAGAGAGAGAGGAGAGAACATTACAATTCATATAAATCACTGTATATGAGAGAGAGAGAGAGAGAGAGAGAGAGAGAGAGAGAGAGAGAGAGAGAGAGAGAGAGAGAGAGAGAGAGAGAGAGCATTACAATTCATATAAAGCACTGTATAGGAGAGAGAGAGAGAGAGAGAGAGAGAGAGAGAGAGAGAGAGAGAGAGAGAGAGAGAGAGAGAGAGAGAGAGAGAGAGAGAGAGAGAGGAGAGAACATTACAATTCATATAAAGCACTGTATAGGAGAGAGAGAGAGAGAGAGAGAGAGAGAGAGAGAGAGAGAGAGAGAGAGAGAGAGAGAGAGAGAGAGAGAGAGAGAGAGCATTACAATTCATATAAGGCACTGTATAGGGAACCTGCCGTGCTGTGATATGTACAGGCAGTTTTCAGTATACTACCCTTTCTTGATTGACGATTAAGAACATTGGAGATCCAGGTCTGCCGGCTAGATGATAAATCTGCCCCAACGTTGTTTGCATGTGTTCTAAATACTAAAGAGACGGTAAATATTATCATCATGCTAAAATGTGTATCATATATGGCAGGTACTTTCACACAATGACATATACATGAACATAATTTGCCTCACAAAGAACCATTACTGCAATTTTTTTATGCCTAAAGACATTAATGATACTGAAAAATGGGTCTAGAAATGCGTGAACCTGTAATGGTGTATGTATGGGTTTGGCTGTCCAAGACATATTAATAATTAAATAAAATCTGTGTGAAATGAATTTGTTTCGAGTTTATGTTAGTTTCAAATTTAAAAAAAAAGATTAGAGACAATGTTTTATTGATGGAATTTCAGTTCTTTTACCGACTTGAGTTTCCAAACATGTGTAGGTCCAAAATAATACCGCGGATCATATGGTTTTCTCTACACAGAAGCTGTCGTCAAGGAAGAGTCTACACAGTAGCTGTCGTCAAGGAAGTCAAAACACTGATAAATAAAGACTTGATCATGACCATTCAGAAATTGGACGTTATTGAATTTTAAACTTCGTTGTGTTTGCATGGTAGCTGTATTAACATCGTGAGTCCTATAGATACACACATGCTGTACAGAAAATAATATAGGGGAAGTAAATCCAACGGTCTTATTAGACACACTGGAGCTGAAACGTTATAATGCAGCAAATGTGGCAATTTGTTTATAGTGATGTTTTGCACTGAAGCACAATGTAGAATGATATCCCATGCAGTCGTATAATCAGGACTCCAGAACGACCAGTCCTATCTGATACTAACCTCTAAGCGCCTTACTGGGCATATGTTTGTACCATTTTTAAAAGTTTTTGGTATGACTCGGCTAGGGATCTAACCCGCGACTTCTCGCATCCGAGTCGGACGCTGTAACCACTAGGCCACCAGAGAGGTTTGGATACAATAGTAGCAACATGTGTTGAACATGTCTCAATAATAATAATAATAATAATAATAATAATAATAATAATAATAATAATAATAATAATAATAATAATAATAATGTTATTTATTATTATTATTATTATTATTATTATTATTATTATTATTATTATTATTATTATTATTATTATTATTGCTGTTGTTGTTGTTAATAATGATGATGATGTTGTTAGGGAGATATCAATGTTGACATGTGATAAAGATACATCTTTCTGACAGGACATAAATCGAGAAATACTGCTGCAACTTTGGATTGTACATCACTTTTAGAGTTCTTGTCATCATAATCAAAATCTACGATTGCTATCGACACATCATCATCGTTGTTTTTTATAGTGTTACTTTACGACTCATCATTAAAAATAACAATGTTGCAATTAATGATGTATCGTCGCTAGCCTAGGATGTCGATGAGGAATGAAGCGGATCAACGGCCATTGGCTAGGGAAGATGATACCATTGCAGAAAGAACGTAAAAGGTTTCCTGGCAATAGCGTTTAGTTCCAGTGGCTTATAGATCTGTAAAACTATTGCAATGGATACAACTGCATATACTATATAACGAAATCTTCCTTTTGCTGCCAAATATATTTTATAGTAAAGTAATATTGTAACTAATGCTTCTGCCAACATTTACTTTAAAAAGTTTTCAACCACAATCTCCCCCACCCCCCACCCCACCCCCCCAAAAAACAAAAAAAAAAAACCAAAAAAAAAAAAACAAACAAATCTCCATAGTTGGCATTTTAGTTTAACTAAATTCCAAATATTAATTATATGATGTTGGTTTTTCAAATATTCGTGATATGTTTTGGATTTTTGAAGGCAGAATAAACACAATCTTAGGCGTCATTTTATCGGTGGTCAATAAAGGATTTATACATAGTGTTCACACCCTCGTTCATTTTTAATCTAATGGTGATTTTCTCTCTTTTGAGGATCGCTCAGGTGGCTTAAATGATTTGATCGTCTGCCTCGGATGCGGGAGGTTGCGGGTTCGAATCCCGGTTGAGTTATACCAAAAACTGATACAATAGTACTAACAGCTACATGAAATCTATTAATAAAGCCCCATTTCCACAATTTCGTGCCAAAAGTTGTATATGCCAAACCATCTGAATAATACTGAATCTTGAAAGATATTGGTCCTAAACGTAGTTGAGTCAGATTAAAACAAGATAATATCATCGCTTCATTACATTATTAGCGATGGAATAGACCATTTCATGGAGACTTCGGGGAACTTCGTAATTAGCTTGGAATTTTGATCACATGGCGGGTGGTCAACTGACCGCAATATCCAATCGATAGCTGGTAGGCAAATAGTCTGGTCCCCTGCTTAGTATGTTCCTTAGTATAGTATAGCGGAGTGCATCTCAGGGAGCATACTAAGCAGGGGACCAGACTAGTGGTCAAAACAAGGCGGACAGTTCATCAACTGTTCCAACTACTTCAGCTTTGTTTATAGAGTTGAAAAATGTCAATTCAACAGCGATGATGCCACATATATTGACGAAATTTAATATTGGAACTATCCTGTCTTGTTTTCTCGATTTTATAGCCATAGTTGAGAGTAGCTATGAGCTGTTTTACATCTGGAATCAGTACACAATTAATAAAATCCGGTTCAGTACCCACGAATGTAGTCCCAGTCTATTTTTAGATCACTTTTTCCGGTCTAAATTTGGTGGTGATACTAGAGTTAGATTTTGGCATTATTGGTAAGGATTTAAAGGCAATTGATTATTCTTTAAAATGTGATCTTATGGTGTGGTTGTCTGTGTGTATTATCGGCGACAGTGCACATTGAGTAATAAGGTCATGGTGATGATCCGGAAGTGAAATCTGTGTTCCGTTGCCTGGTGTTTTGTTTACAATTCAGCCTCTCAAAAAAATGCAGGTCAACCCTTGACAAGAACTAAACCGTAAAGTCATCTTTGAAGGTATTTTAGATTAACATATGATTTGTATTGATTGTCACACAGTGGAAAGTTCAGTACTGAGAAACAAATGTAGAGACCATATAGTAAAATTAATTGTGTACTATGGCCTGTCAGTAAAAACTTGAAACTGATATAAAAATTTTTTATTATTAATGACATATACATGAAATTTTAATATGTTATGTATATTGACTTTAAAAATATAAAAATGAAATTAAAAGTAAAAAAATAATTTTAATTTTAAAAATTTAAATGAAATTTAAAAAAACAATTAAAAAATAAAAAATTTCCACTAAGTATACACATATATAATATTTTTTGTGTTTTATATTAAATTATATCATAATATATATATATATATATATATATATATATATATATATATATATATATATATATATATATATATATATATATATATATATATATATATATATATACATATATATATATATATATATATATATATATATATATATATATATATATATATATATATATATATATATATATATACTACACCATATACAAGCTCAAATGATGGATATTTGTCAAATTTGATCAGAGAAAATATCTTTATTAGTCAAAATGAGACCCTCATTTAAAATACATGAAGACAAAATTCTATTTTGCTTTGTACCTTTAGGTCATTGAAACTATTTATTTGGGGTTCAAACAGTTAATTTATGTGTTTATGATGGGGTGACTTCCTGAGTAACACATATCTGCTTGTATAGCTATCAGTAATTGTTTATAACTATGGTTATAGGGTATTTAGTGAGAGGACAGAGATGAAGACTTTATACTAGAACCTGTTCAAGTTCTCTACAAAATCATATTAAGCTGTCAGAGAATGAAATACAGGTCAGAGGGGTAAAATATACTTTACCCAGGTATATTTACCATTGCATGTAAGAAAACAGCAAAATGATGTAAGTTGAACACAGAATGCAATCAATTTTATTGTTCAGTTTCTTTAAGATGTTGATTGATGTAGTGCAACATTGTAACCCAGATGATATTATGGGAATTCTCATGATCCATTTTGCTTTATGCATTATTAATGACTAATAATATTTGTTATCTGACACTTTAAAGATTACATAAGTAATATTCAAACAGATTATTTGAATTTAACTTTCTACAACTGATCCTAACATGGTTACATAGCTGACATGAACAAATATGCATATATTTTGTAATGTTTGGAATCAAAAGTTGACATTGTTAGGCTGACATGGTACCTATAGTGAATCTGTAAGGCTCAATTTTGACTGTGTGCACTTAAAATATCCAAAGATGTTATTTTCATCATGAATATGCCTCTGTATGGTAACACATTTCAATTTAGTACTTTGACAGAGGGCGGTATTGCAGCATCAGCTGATATTTGATTCCATTGAATCATTGAACTTAATAACTTGGTAGCCAGGACTCTTAAAAATAGACTAAAAATGTTCAAAGAGATTATTTGAATCATGTTTGCACATGTGATTTTAACAAGTACATTGCATATGTCCCACACATGCAAATATCCATCCTTGTTTACAAGTTTTCGGGATGAAAATTTCACATTTAGTTGATGATATAGGATCTATTGGTACCTATAGTTGATCTGTGTGGCTACATTTTGCTATATTCACTCACAATATCTAAAATTGTTTTTCCTTCATGAATAGGATTGCATATAGTAATAAATTTTAATTTGGTACATTGTCATTTGACTTTCCACTATACTGGTATGTATCAATGTTTGCACCAATGATCAAACCTCACCGTTCCAACATTGCCTTAAACTTTATGATGCATACTCTACCTGATTAGTTATTTAACCTGTAAATGGCTAAATATGCTTGTAGAAACTTCATCTATTTTTAGGATGCATTTGTCACTTTAATACATGCCCATTGCTTCACATCTTTGAGTGTCACTCTATCAAGTTTACCTTTTTTTAACCATATTTGCAACCTGAATGTTATTTTGAAATCACCATATCTAACACATTTTAACTTCATTTGCCTACATCTTCCTTTTTTTAGAATTAAGTGAAACATGTTATATATTTTCAGGTCTAGTCTAGTATCTGGAACAAAGTATTAGAGTTGGATCAATTTGGAAGCTCTCCAGTAGTCCAATAGTGATAGCAAGGTCTCATAAGGACATGTGCAGTGTGCTGCTATAAGTGACCAAGATGAGTTCATATCAGTACACTGATATACAGCATCTCAAAAACATGGCTTAGATCTTCATGAGAGAGATTCGCATCTTTTTTTAGTAAGGTGAAACTCTATTTTCATATTGCATTGTTGACTTTTGTAGTTATCGGCATTAAAATGGAATGCATATTTGCTATGAAACATGGTAGTGGTCCCATCAAAACTTTAAATTTGAGTGGGATATTAGTTATACAAACAACTGTCCAAGTACCTGAAACAATAAATGTGGAACATAGTACCTGTCATTGTTTCTTTAGTATGTACACCTATATGCATCTGGATAGGCATATTGCAATTTGCTGTCAAAATCACTGTGAGCTATCATGCTTCAGTACCCCTGGGATTAATATTATCAGGTGTACAGACCTAAACTACCATTTGTTTTAAAGACCATTCATTAATCAACATTGCTGCCTTAAATTTGTCAAACTGAATGTCATAACTTGTATGAGAATTTATTTTTTGTAAAATAAAAAGTTTTTAAAATTTATATATTTTTTAAAAATTTTCATTAAAATTTAATATATCAATATTTTTTAATTTCAAGACTATTTTCAGACAGGCCTTATCAAGTATTACAATTAGGTTTTTACTGCATTGAAAAATTCCTATAATTAAGGAAGATATAGCAAATTTAGTTTTGGTTTCTTAAGAACAATTGGACCTCAAATTGCACCCTATAGAACACCAGCACTACACACTTTCTGACAGCTGTCACATGTCTTGCTTGCAATGAAATTTCAAAAGACTTTATGTATGAAGTTGAAACAATAGTGGCATGCAAAATAAAATGCAAATATAAAAGTTTGACAAAAACATTGACCCTTTCAGGAATCAGTACACAATTAATAAAATCCGGTTCAGTACCCACGAATGTAGTCCCAGTCTATTTTTAGATCACTTTTTCCGGTCTAAATTTGGTGGTGATACTAGAGTTAGATTTTGGCATTATTGGTAAGGATTTAAAGGCAATTGATTATTCTTTAAAATGTGATCTTATGGTGTGGTTGTCTGTGTGTATTATCGGCGACAGTGCACATTGAGTAATAAGGTCATGGTGATGATCCGGAAGTGAAATCTGTGTTCCGTTGCCTGGTGTTTTGTTTACAATTCAGCCTCTCAAAAAAATGCAGGTCAACCCTTGACAAGAACTAAACCGTAAAGTCATCTTTGAAGGTATTTTAGATTAACATATGATTTGTATTGATTGTCACACAGTGGAAAGTTCAGTACTGAGAAACAAATGTAGAGACCATATAGTAAAATTAATTGTGTACTATGGCCATCTGGACATGAACATGCGAGTATGGAAACGGTGTCGATGTTACAAATTTAATCCAATTTTTTTTTACCATAACACCGCATTTCATAAATCGAGTTTCATTTACTAATAAAAGGAATTTTTCGTATTAATCCGCAGTATAGCAAACCTAGGAAATTTTCGACGGTAAAGCTGCAGAAGTCCCAGGCATTTAGCGGGCATTTCTTAATTTGTTTTAATCTGATACGTCTAAACAACAATGCATGCCATTTTGTTATGTACAGATGCCTACCAGCGTTTGATTGGCTAGAGTATAAAGTGACTCGGGAGTTTTCGCATAATTACGGAGTAACTCGGTTAAATCCGATATGAAATGGGCTATATCTCCCTTGAATTAATAAACCCTGTAATTTTTCCCCATGTTTACGAATTAATCCGAATTTATCAGCGATATCCGTGGGTCAACTGATTTCAGTCGAAAGCGGAATCTCAAGATTTGATGACGTTGACGTTGTAAACATAAGTATTGTCTTCAACCCAAGTTAAAATGTTCTAAGTATTCCAGCGCCCCAGCAGATCACATATATTCAGCAGT